TATTTCATTGGTGTCATTCATATTTTTTTAACACACCGCAGCAGCATCTGGAAAATAAAATTCTCGATTTTATTTGATTGAAATAGACGATATTGCATAGCAAACATTTTTGCAGCTCTTGCGTTTCAATGCACTCAATCAGATTGATGAGAGCTTCTCTTTGAAGCCGTACGTTTTTTATTTCGTAATGGGTATTTAAGTTTTTATTAAAAATGATTAAATACAATAGTTTTGTTATCAAATCAATAACGTTTTTGTACAAAACAAAAACTAAGATTTAATCGATTTCAATTTTTGTCTGATTTAGATAAAAATGATTAATTACAGTAGTTTGGTTATTAATTCGATAAAATAATTTTTGTACTAAACAAAAGCTAAGGTCTAAAACATTTCAATTTTTGTCTGATTTAAATAAAAATGATTAATTAAAATGGTTTTGTTATCAAATCAATAGAATAATTTTTGTATTAAACAAAAACTGAGATCTAAAAGATCTGACTCGGATGAGCACAAAAATATGTAAAAGACATCTTAAGGATCGCTAAAAGATTATGACGTCTTTTTGACATCTTTTAGACTCCTCGCGACACAAAGTTTCGGATAAAGAGTAAACTTTAAGGTACTGGCGGCTGCACTTCCCCAAATGTCTCTCTGAAATCGGCTCCATCCCAGCCATGAGGGATTTTAATAAGCGGCGCGTAAACTCGTGGGAACGAAAAAGTGACGAAGTTTGAGTGCGGACGGTAGATCGAAGTCGCGCGGAATCGCGGAATCCAATTTAAATAATACTATCCTCCTGGCAACTTCGACTTCGGCGTTTTCCCCGGGGGGAGCAAGCGACCGATTGCCCACCTCCGCATTCGTCGCCCTTTTCCCCCCTAACTATTCGTCCCAAAGGAGCTTAAAAAATGATCCGCCAAAAGAAATTACAGACGCGCGCGGCATCAGTTCTTCCGCCGAATCTCTTTTTTTTCCTCCTCTTCTTTCTTCCTCTGCCTCTGTCTCTGTTTCTTTCTCTCTCTCTCATTCCCTTCCTCTCTCAATCTTTTTCTCCCTCAATTCCGTTTGGGACTGGATTAAATTCTCCATCGAATTCCGCAGCGTCTGTTCTCATCGGAAGGAAAGATTCGCCCGAAAACGTTCACGCGCGAGCCGAACTGTCGATATCCCGTGAAGCTTTTAACGCCGAGCGAGTTAGAAATATGTCAACGACTTCAGCCAGATATTATGTAATTACTTAAGCTTAAAAAAAAGGCGCCACGGCCGACCGCGAACGGTAGTTTCCAACGGCGAGTGAGAATGACAGCCGTCGTTCGCACGGAGATTATTTGCCAGACTGAATCCGGAGCACAGTATGTGAACGTTAATCGACAACTCGAAAATTGAATCTGCGCATTAAATGCACGAATCGAAATGCGATTACTTGTTTATTATGGATAATCATGATTAAAAAGAACTCTTAATAAATACTTTACTTTATTATCACATAAATATTTTATGATTGCCAAAGTAGAGAAAAAGTTTAATGAAATCGGTTTTTAATTTAGATTATTGGTTCATCATTCATACTAAGAAATTAAGAAATTTATTCATTTTATCAATTTAATTTTTCTTGAAAAGCACTAAGTTATTTTCCTATAATAATATAGTTTACTATAAAATTCAAATATTAATATATTTTAATACATTAACTATTTACTTATTTTTGAAATAATAATAATTTGTATATATTTTTTATTTTTTGAAGTATAATATTTTAAATATTTATCACACATAATGATAATTTTTGTATTAATTAATAATTAATGTCAATTCTAAAATATAATCTTATTAATCATGAAATAATTGTTAGTAGATATTTTGTATTTTTATCGTGAGAAGAGATGCGGTAAAATTGTCAACAACTTCTCGATGATTGTATTTAAAATAATTATAATCTTTTATCCGGTATATTGTGATCCGTCAGAAGAGTTTTGCTAAGTGCTCATTGCATGATGAATTGTCCATTCCGCTTATATTTATAAGTGATCCATTTGTGTACCTTATTATGTGAAGCATGTCTTCTAACGATATTAGCATCAAATAAGCCTAAACGTTATTTTATGATGATATCTTTTTTTCCTAAGATAACAATTTATTATTATTTTAAGAATTTTTTACTTTTATATTTAATTTTAAAACTTTAATAATATTAAATGTATATTTTCTTGTTTACATTTGACGTATTCTTTTAGTGCATTCAGTCGTTGAAGCTACGACTTATGAGATTTTTTTAAATTTATAATATATAAAATTATAAAAGTTTTAGATCATGTTCTTATATATTTTTACCTTTTTCATTTGATTATTCTTAAATCTAGAAATTCAGAGAGTAATTCTAAAATTTTTAATTTCTGAGATTCTTTTATAAGTAAATTGGGTTTTTTTTTTTTTTTTTTTAAGATTATACATGGAAAAAGATTATATCTGAAAATTATTATGTTATATATTAAATGTTTAATTTATAAACGTCTGAGAAAGTAAATACTTTTAAACTCATATATGTTCAAGAATATTTTAAAGTTGTACGAGAATATCAGCGTAAAGTTCATCTGACCCCCAAAGTGCATCAGGTAGTTAAAGCCCATTCCGCCGCGATGTCCCTTTAACTTTCGAATTCTCGCTTTTACCGGCACAAAGGCACTCATGTATTGAGCTGGGTCTCCTGCTTGACAGCTTCATTTCACCCTAAGTGGTTTCGTCGTGTCGCATCCTCGGTATCGCGAACATTAATCAAGGGATTGCCCGAGTGTTTCAGCAAGTGCGTTGAAAGCACTCTATTGTAACTTGTACTCACGTAACCAATCGTATTAAGTTATCTTAATCTGATAATTCATTGCCTGAAACTTTAGATTTGCAATTATTCGCGCCACTGACTCGTTCATATTCGTTTGATTTCATCTGCTTTGTCATTTAGTTTAACATTGAAATGGCGTTAATATCGAAAATATGAAACACATTAAAGATTCCTTGAATTAATTAAAGTAGAATATTCATCCTTAGTAAAAGTACCTTTGCATTATAAGTCAAAGCGTCCCGTTTTAAATGAAGAAGAGAAAGCTCAATAAAATTCCTCGTTATTTTTCATTGTAAGTTATTAAAATTATGAAAAATAGTTGAAAGATTTTCTTTTAATATTCACTCGAATTCTTAGCCTAACTATCTCCGACAAATAGACACAGAGTTTCAGGCTTAAATTTATATATAAGTAAGAATATATTCCGTGATTAATTTAATAATGTTAAATAATTTGTTTATATGTTATACGTTAAATTTTTTAATGTTTAATATAATTTTATATGTATGAATATAAAAATTCGTGATCCATTTGTGATTTGAGAAACGTTACGTTAAGACAACAGAAAATAAAAACATAATTTTAATTACATATATTAGTAAATTAATTACTCTCTGAATCTTTAGATTTAAGAATAACCAAATATAAAAAAACTAAAAATATATAAGATCATAATCTAAAACTTTTATAATTTTATATATTATAAATTTTAATATGCATTACGTATATTTTCTCTGATTTTTTGCTGCATTATAATATATTGTAAATTTAACCAAGATGAAATTAATGAATGTAATTGAAATATAAGTATCTAAATGAAAATAACAAAACGCACATGCGTTTATTTTCTGAAGTAATAATCAAACGGATTAAAATAATATTATGAAATATGTTGAAATTATATGAATTCCAAAATTTTTTATCTCTGTTCGCAGATTTTTGAATTTTAATAAATTATAAATTATAATTACATATCCATGAAATATTAAATTATAATCCTTAAAATATTAAGTTAAACATTATCGAATTATTATTTCTTAAAAATCTTTAATGAAACGTAGATTGTTGATTGTGGAATTTCCATTCTAGCACCACATAATGTTATCAACTGCTACTTACAATATGCAATTTACAAAAGCCGATAACATGTAAACGGAACAAAAACGATCGGAAAAAGGACGAGAGAGAGAGAAAGAGGTATCGGGAGTGAGTTGATATCATCAAATTTGCATAGCAACCGACTTGAGAATCGTTGTTGGACGGTTGTACTGAATTTCAACATCGGGCTCGCTTGCGATTCTTTCGTTTGCGAGACTCTATTTTTGCAAACGTGCCGATTCTACGCAAGCCGGGAGGAAAGTCGAACTGGCGCACGTTTCCGAGACGCGTTTACGCATCTGGTCACGAACAATCCGCTCCCAATTCCCTCGCTCGAAAACTCGCGCCCAAGCGGACGTCCAGTGCATTGGAGGGAAAGCTTTTTGCCGACAGCTTTTATCGATATGGATGATGTAACCGCAGGTCGATGCGTTTTGCTTTGGCGTCCGTCTAACTGAAGCGGAAGTTGATGTTATACGCCAGGGGTTATATGCTCCATATCCCCTTTTTCTTTTAGTAAAGAATTTCCGAACGAGAGGCGTGGTTGCAGTGAATTTTTCTCTTGTGCTGCTTCTTCGCATTTATCTGTATGAATATATGCCTACGTTATGCTGTATTGTAATTGTCTGACATTTTTTAGATACGTATTTCGTATTTGCGATGTTATTTAAATGAAAAAATATATTCTATTTCTGCGCTCAAGTTACTTTTGGTGTTTTTAAGGAAAACAATAACTATTTTAGATTTTATTATTAAAAACTATTGATATATCAATATAATGTAAATTTACATTAGTTATTATATAAAAATTTGGTGTGTGTGTGTGTAGCTTTTCTTTTTAACTCGATTTATCTTATTCCAAGTTATACAGAATATTAACTAAAAAAGAATATTAATTAATTACATGCAAATATTGCTTATTGAAAAGTAGTTACGTATATTATATTATAAAATTTTATTAAAATTTAAATTGAAATTTATTTAAATTATTGTTCAGGCGAACATTTAGAACACTATCTATAAGTAGCAATCAATACTGATTAATACCTAATGTTTCGTGTTGCAGCACCAACACTGACGATCAGCGACGATTCCGGACGTATAGTTTCCAAGGAAAGACATCTGAAAGCAGGCAGTGTCCTCAGGCTCAGGTGTGAGGCGAGAGACGTGCTCGAGTCGCTCAACGAGTCCGTCGTTTGGACTAGAGGAGACGAGACGCTTACAGAGGACATTAGGTAAATGCTTGGAACAAACCGTCGTTGAATATTGCGACCGTTTGTTTCCGATTTGGGTTAGCTGCGATCGCTTTTTCTATCTAGATTGTGTTATTTCAGAAAATAAGCTTCCCCTAGAGCTAGACTATCCAGTAACGCATTTATCATTGCGACTTTTCTTTAAAAACGCTATCTGCAAATTCGCATTACTCTTCATCCTCGGTGTATCATTTCTTTTGTTATTCATCATAGCATTATTTTTATAAATAAAGTCTTATAGCCATATTTGTATTTCATATTTAGCGCTAAATTCGAGAAAATTGTGCGAAGAATTTTTTCATCGTAATTAATTTAAAAAATATATAAGTCTTTATACTGAAAATCTCGCAATGATTCAGTATTTCTCATGTTTGGTTTTCTGAATCTATTCAATTTAATACCAATGCCAATGTCAATGCATTATTGGCAAAACATAAAAATGAATAAAGGTGTCTTTTCATGCTGACGTTCGACGCTCATTTTTAGCGTCAAAATTACGTGATCATAGTTGGCTTGCACGAAAAGCGGCAACATCAAATTTAATGTCAATCGTATAATTCGTTTTTAAAACAAAACAACAACAGCTTTGATGTTAAAGCTGAGAAAATTCAGTTTCTTTTTTTAACGCTAGCGTCGAAGTCACATGGCTACCAAAAATCCAACATGTTTTCTTTACTGCTTACGTTTTATTGCTTAAGTTTTTCTGTGTGTCATGGTCCTAACGCTAAAACGAGCGTTTCATGAATTTGCACCTTAAGGTGCCTTTTCATGCTGACGTTCGACGTTCATTTTTAGCGTCAAAATTACGTGCTCATAGTTGGCTTGCACGAAAAGCGGCAACATCAAGTTTAATGTCAATCGTATAATTCGTTTCTAAAATGTTTAAAACAAAACAACAACAGCTTTTGACGTTGAAACTGTGAAAATCCAGCTTCTTTTTTTGACGCTAGCGTCGAAGTTACATGACTACCAAAAATCCAATATGTTGATTTCTTTATTGCTTACGTCATACTGCTTAAGTTTTTCTGTGTGCCATGGTTCTAACGCTAAAACGAGTGTCTCATGAATTTGCATCTTAATATTGCCGTGAATATGTCATAATCAATTAAGGAGATACGAGATCCTGCGCAGTTTTATAAAAGAAACGACGTCTTATAACTTTTCCCGAACGATTCTGCTGCAGTTCTTACATAAAGCAGGTTTTTAATTAAATTATCGATTCTGAAATAGATAAGTTAAGTGCGAGATTTTTTTGAGATCTACAATTCCATAAAGAGCGAAGATTTCTCATCCTACCGTTTCCATGATTTTCTACATTTTACCTTCTGCTCCTTAATTCTAAACGAAAATTGAGATATCTAAAAATTTTACACTATTCTCGTACGTATAAGATAGAAGGTCGTCTCATTCTTATTTTTAATCGCAGGTTTCGGAATAAATATAAAAATTATAAAGTTATCAAAATTTTTCGAAAATGAATATATTTTATAATGTATATAATATATGTAGATATACATAATATATGCGGATATAGATTCTTTTTATTAGCGCAATTTTGTAAAAAGATAAAATATTGAAATATTTTTATTCATATACTAAAAATAATAATCTTCATAGATTTTCTGTTAGAAACTCGGAGCAGTAAGGCGTTAAAATGCACGCTTGGAATATAGGCGAATATTCACGCTCGGAGCAAACACGATCGTACCCCACTTTACAGTTCTACAATTTCTCCCCCCACGTAGGAGCGAACATCTTTGTGTACTCTATAAACACTTCATATCGATAGCTCCCTGATATCAAATTTACGAAGAAAAGTGTGAGATATACGTCTGAACGATACAGCGTTGTTGTAATAGTGTCTGATATCAGCCTTGAAAAAAGATTTCTAATCTAACAATAAGTTCTTTTTTGCATGATATTTTCTTCAAACAAAATTTTAAAGGCTTTTATTTATTTTAACTTTTACATATAAACAGATATGAACCTTAATTATTAGATATGTTTATAAACCTGATGCGTTAAAGATTAGAATATAAAATGTTAGACAACTTTTTATTTAATTAAATATAATTACTACAAATAATAATTAATATAATTACAAATCTCAATTTTTTAAATTTTTTATATGTGAAGAAATAATGATCTTTACGCATTTCACAAATAATTTTAAATGATATTGGAAAACAAAATTTCCGTTCGCTGTTCACAGACAGAAATAATCTGTCAGTTACATCTGTCTGTGAAATATACGTTCCTATTCGAATATATACTCTCACGATAAATTCAGTCGTGAAACGAGTTTCTTAATGAAATCAGCGGGTAACGTCTGGTCTAAATGGTCTAAATCGACATGCAGCAGATTAGGAATTTCTCCAACGGCATTCTATGTCCACCGAACGAAATTATCTTCGCTTCTCGTCTTCGCGTAGCTACCTGACAATAATATACATAAACTACTTAACGTAAATATACAGAGTGTTCTGACATAAATTCCTCAGAGCTCATTTATTTTCACACATTTATATAGCAAAAATAAGGTAATAATTTACGATTAAATCTATAATTATTAAAAATTAATCTTTAGAACCGCGAATAGATATCGAAATTTTGTTCTTAATCTAATTTAAAAATGAAATTTTAATTTAACATGTAAATATTTTAATATAAAAACTCTATTTTATGGAATCACATGTAGAAATAATAACATCCATTATAAGTTTCATTTGATTAATTAACAATTATATTTTAACTTGTAATAAATAGCTTTAAAAAGGTGACATTTTGGAATTAGGAATTTAAATTTAAGGATTAGAAAGAGAAAATACTTAATTTTCTCTATTTAAACAATAAATTTACTTAAGTTTTGTAAAATGGCACCAAGTAAAATTGTTGTGCTTTAAGATTAAAATTAGACTTTATATTTAAAAAATCGTAGCCAAAAGAACACAAGAACATCCTGTATATTCGCGTGGAGTCCCGCTTGTGTATCAAGGCGATACGTAAACCGGACAGGAAGGAAAGATGTGGATATAGAAACTCACGGCCCGATCTCTCTCGTTTCCAGCGAGAACAGAACGACAGAGATCTCAGCGGGCAAGGAGGTCCTTGTGATCGTCAGTACTCTCATCGTGGAGAGAGCCAGCCCCAGGCACGCAGGGAACTATAGCTGCTTGGTGCCCGGCAAAGCCAAGACCACCGTCGCGGTCCACGTTCTCAACGGTGAGTATGTCCTTTACGTGCACACGTGTGTCGCCGTTATATAGTCCTTTCCCTCTCACCCGTCTCGAAAGGAAGAGAAGAAGACTCCGCCGGCACGTCGGTCGTTATTTATCAAAGCGAAACGAAATTCCCTCATAGCCGGGAGAGACTTCGGATCAGAATGCGCACTATATATGGATTAACAATTTTGAAACTTGGGTCGTCATGAACCGAATGACGATTCCGTTTCCGTCTTCGGTCCGCTGACCTTTTCGTTTAACGGTTTCCGCTTTGTGGCAGAAACGTGAACAACCTTCTACGTACAAAGCATTTCTACGTTCAAACGAACGATTAAGATACGTGAAGGTACGTCAAGGGTTTACCAGAAATCTCGAAATTACATTGACTTTTAAGAGTGATTGCAACTGGTACAAAAAGGAGAGAAAGACATATATTTTGCATATATATTTATATAAACTCTGCACGTTCTTTTGGAATTTATCTGGAAAATTTTACAGTTCTGTATTCATAGAGAGGTAATATTCTTTGAGAAAATATTTTTAATTATTAAAATGGAATCTTTGTGAATTGACAGAATTTTTCACAATCGTATAAAATGTTAAAATTCTGCTGTCATTAAACATTGCGAGTATCAATGCTCATGATAATAATTAACTCAGTAAGATCTTTTCAATCTTTTTGTATGTTTATAGAAATATGTATTTACAAAATTTCATCTGTTTCTACCTATATTTTAAAATTGTGAAATTATTTATTATCTTCTTCAATCTGAAAAATTGATTTTAGACGCAGGTGGTTTATTATTTTCTATGTTTATTTTTTTCTCTTACAATTGTCTAAAGCTTCGATAGATGAAACGAACAATTTTTCTTCTCTGTGTGTTTCTTAATTCTTTCTTAGCGCAGAGATGGAAAGAAAACTTGAACTTATTTTAATACGTATGCATAAGTGTTTGATTTATTCGGTCATACACGTTGCAGTAGTATAGAAACAAAAATGATATTTTGAAATAAGATCCCTACGGAAGGCCAATGAACGGTCATAGCAGGATCTTGGGGCTTCTAATATTTCTATGTGAATTTTACATACGTATTCTAGCTTCAACGGTACGAACTGCGTGCCGTTACTTTCGGATTTAACACAGCTTTTTGCTTGAAACAGAACCGTATTATCACGTTATTAAATTGATAATCAATTTAATAAATTCTGATCACTTGCGTCTAATAAATCCCCCCTCCCCCGCGACGCGAAATGAATGCTAAAAAATATTTGTTGCAAAAAATATTTGGAGGGGAGGGAGAATTTATAAGATGCAAGTGAGCATTAGTACTTATTAAATTGATTATTAATTTAATAACGCGATAATACGGTTCTGTTTCAAGCAAAAAGCTACGTTAAATCCGAAAGTAACGATAATATTTTTAAGTGATCACTTTGCTTACAATAAAGTTTAGTCAGAGTCATTTAATTTGATATTATATTTATTAGGTCTATCTCTATTAGTTTACGAGATAAAAAGGGGTGGCCACTTATACGGGGACACTCTATGTATATACATATATATATATATATATATATATATATATTGATATTTTGAAATATGGATAAAACACAAACTGAAAATACTTTTGTTAAAATTGCAACGCAGAGGATACACAAAAATCAGGGATTAGTGATAAGAGGAACAATAATTGTCGAGAGATCGGCAAGAGCTGGGAAAATTGACTTTCCAACATGTTTCTTCTTATTAATTCTCCATATACGTGAACTTTTTTTTACACGTATGTACACGTACATATATCGTTGCTTTTCGCGTCGTTGCAACGAAGGCAGAGCAAGTTACCACGACAAGTCTGGCAGTTACTTATCAAACTTGAATGGACCTGCTCGTCGCGCAAAGGACGGCGGGAATACGAAACAAGGTATAAATCGTGGGGGATTTGCACGGTGATTACTCACGGTTGAGCCGCGCGCGCGCGGGCACGTTTTTCGCTTCCCGCTATTTCCGGATACAGCACGCGCTAACCGCACCGCGCGCAACGCGCGACGCGGTTACGACGACGCGGACGGCCGCCTTTCTCTTTCTACACGCGGCAATATAGAATGTTAATGTCGCTGTAGCTCTTCATTATATCGCACGGCACCCTCCGCCGGCATTTCCGAAAATTTGCGAGGACGCTTAATTTATTCCAGTCGACCGCGTTTGCGTGATAGGGAAATATTGTGCGTTTTATCACGCGGGCGCGCGCCCGGGGCTGCGTCGCCAGAAAACACCTTTTCCACGGCTCTATGCATGGCGACGAAATTCGACGAAATAGGTGTCCCGAGTACTTTGTCGCGCTTTTCGGGAAATGTCTGGATTTATCAGCGAATCGCGCGGACGCGCTTCGCGAAAAGTGCTTTTCTCAGTCCTCGCGAGATGAATAATGAACGCGCGTCAGAAATTTCGAAGTAAGAACCGTCGCGTAAAAAGATTTCTATTAATTATTTCATAAATAATACTTCTCCGAGCTTTTCAATTCTGCCAAGTCTATTATCGCGTGAGCTATCGGGAATGAAATATTCGTTCGGAGAAAAGTGAAGTAATATTAATGACGAAAGAGCTATCTTTCGCTCCTTTGAAAGTTTGATAAAAATTTTAAAGGACAAGAAAAACCACTCGCGCGCGCGGATCTATGGCGATACGTCATAGAACAGGCTATCAATTATAAGGAGGTAGTGTGCAATATGTAATGCGACTGGAGGCGTAAGGACGATGAAGAAATCCCTTGTAAAGCGTACGCCTTTCCCGGGCGAACATCAGTAAGATGGGGAAACTCCTCTTTATCCCGTAATGCGCTTAGCAGATGTACCGAAAACTCGACGAGAAACTCGCGATAGGAGAGGAGAGGGCTGTGTTTCCTTCGCGACATTATCCATTCAACGTAGCTCTCGTACGGCGTTCAGATCCCGCTCGATTGCATCAATTCCAGAACACCTAATCGTACCGTGATACGCGGAGAAGACGAAGTATATATATACTTCTAGTTTACAACGTCAAATTAAGTGAAATTTAAATTTCTGCGAGACGTATTACTGTCGCCTTGAACGAGTTTATTGCGAGGATACGCGAAGGAAAGATGTAGCTGTACTTTATCGTCTCTTCTTTCTATTTGAGTTTTAAGTTTTATTCGATCTTGTATAAAATTACAAAAAGAAGTTATTACCTAAAAAAAAAAGTTCTATGATATATAAATCATGATTTCGTAGGATAAATGTACATAATTGGATTCTTGTCGAAGTTTTGTTTCGAAATAAAAGAGTGATAATCTTCTAAAGCTTTCAGTAGAGACACAATCCAGTAATAACATTTCAAAAATATATCTTATATAAAAGAATGTCTTCTTACAACTGGTTTTACGATAAAACGGTAAAAGATAGAAGGGCGTTGATCCCTAAAGCTTTTAGTCGTGATCGCCAAGAAAAACAGAAGCAGAGGAAACAAACAGCGAACTTACAGTATTGATTAAACGTAATACACAGTAAATATTTACAATAATAATATTTACAATAAAAACGCTATTCTATAAAAAGAAATGGTATAATTTTTGTGGTATTTTTGACTAAAAGAATAATGCTTTTAATTGAAATAAAATTTAAAAATATTATTTTTGGTATGTCTTCAAGCGTGCGTGATACACGAAAATCCCATCGAGAAAAGCACCAAGAAAAATCGAAGAATAAACAACTCACTTGGAATTTACGCTTTTAGCCGTATACTTATACGCTTACAGTCGTATAAATATGTTAAAATAATATTATTTAAAAAATCACATAACTTGACTATATATGTACATATATGTGTATATATATATATATA